ACATCGAAATATCAAACAATTCATCAAATAGGAATGTGCGTAAAGTGTGTAAGGCTCTCTATAACCCTTGCACTTTATTTTATAACAGTACAATAAAATACATTAGCAACTACACTGTATATCACCAGGAAAGATCCTAACTGCTCTGGAGGCTTTTGCCGGTGATCTGCATATAAAGTGTTCCACAACAGCAGAAGGAATGTTAATATTGCTAAGCATTCTGTTCTTCATGTTTTCTGGCACCTATCTCTCACATATTACCTAGTGACTTGCACAGGACCTTTTGTAAGAGTCCCATGGAATCAAAATGTTAACTTCAAAGAGTGGAAAAAGCATCTGTGATAAATTTAGCTCAAAGGGTCATACAGTCATGGGACCTTTAGTAACAGTTGGGTCTGTTACTGTGCAGGTCACACATCTATAGAAGTACACATAAATCAGGCACCGTGTCATGAAACTTTTTTATTCCTTTAACAGATTGAATAGGTTATGAAGAAAAGCCAAACTCCAAAAATCAGATAAAATAGAGGTGCTGGGCTATTACAAAATAACTGGCCATTTTAAAGCTGATTTTTTAAAGTTTATCTGATTATTTATTATTTATAAATATCAACATTTTTCCTACATCAATGAAGGAACACAAAACGAAGGAAAACCAACCTTTTGACTAAGTGATTTCAAAATACCATACTGGAATGGAATATTCAAAAACTATTTCTGCTGTGCCACAAAGTAAATATCTCAGGATGATTTGTTCTCAACAGCATAACAGTCAAGATGATGCCTTTTACTCCTAGTTAACAGACATTTAAGTAAAACTATACTATAGCATATTTAGATATTAAATATTACTATACAATAGGAATACACTCTAATTTCAAGTACTTAAATAATTAAGGCAGTGTTTTTAAATGCAGATTCAGAAAAAGGTTCTCATGGAGTTACAGATCTCCATCTCACTGACTAAATACTAACACCCATTGTGAACACGCTTTCTTTTTTAGTTTCCATCCTCAGCTCCTTAAAAATAAACTCCTGCCATCCAAGTGCCTACTAACTTCAACTATTTTGAAATGTATATTAAGCAGATACACTCCAAGTGGCCAATTCAGAGCCTGTCCTCAGGTAGCAACCTTAGAAGCATAGGCTTCCTACAAAAAAAAGGAGTCTATCACTAGGAAGGAGAGCTCGTAACCTTCCAGGGAATGTTAATTTTATCCGAAATTCATAAATTGACTTTGGTGAAGATAAAAAAAAAAAGTCAATCAAAAAATCTCTTAATAGACAGTATGAGAAAGGGAACCTTTTGTCCAAAGAAGTTTCTAGAGAACCCATTAGGCCAACTTTGGCAGTTAACGATAGCTTCTAATTCATACCTAAAACCTCTTGTGCTAACATGAACATCAATAGCAGTTTTGTCTAAGTTTTAAATAAATATAAGAGCATATTAGTCCATTGTGCTTATAGAAGATGATGCAGCATTTATTTTAGTGTTTGACATGGGGCCAATTATAAAAACTCAGTTTCTCATAATTTGAGGAATTGAGAGAAAAATTAAGGGAAATTAAGAGAACAAATAGAGGAATAGCCATTGTTTAAATAGCTGATTTGTACATGCAATTCTGTAAGTTGAACAAAAACAATAATATTTCTCTTTCTTTTTGGAATCCTTTTATTTTTTATGGTGGCAGGAAAAAGGCTTTGGAGCGGAGGTTTTTTTGGATTGCCTTCACAGTTAAGGCAAAAGCTGACTGTATAATGAAAATAAGCAAGAAAAGATTTTAAATTAATGAAAATACTAAAAGATGAAGCTATTTGGTACTGTTAAATACACTATTATAAAAGCAGCAAGAAAAGCTACAGTATTTTTTGTCTCTATGTATTGTCAGTGGAATGAGGATTTGACTGTATAATTAAACTGTCTAAGGAAAAAAAGATACAAAAATAATTATAACACCAATACTAAAAAGTGTGCAGGATTCAACCCACTTTGAGGATGCTTACATATTAGTTATTTATCTTCAAATTAGTAACTAATTGAACTAAACCAGTGTTACATTGCACAAAATTGAAAATTAAAATGAATTGCAAAAAGCATGGCTTAGGGAATGAGGCTCAGGACTGACTGTTCTGTTCCATGGCTGGGAACATCTTTGTCTTGAGGGTATGGAAAATCTGCTTAAACATTCTGAGTTTTGTCTTCCTTGTTTGTAAAACAGGGATAACCCATATCCTGCTGCTTGAATAGCACTTGGATATCAAAGAACTGAAAACATGCAATAGGTGGCAGGTTATTATTGCTGTTGTTGTGCGCAAGCTGAAGAAATGGATTCACAATCTCAAGCCTTCAGACAATAATGAATGGGCTCTTAAGTGTGTTGTTTGGAATACACATTAGAAAATGAAAGCTATAAAAAATCTGCTGCCTTTTGATATGCAATCTTAGTTTCATTATGATCTTTTTCAGGTAGGATTACTAAAATATTTTTAAAAATTTGGAGTTGGGCTCATTCACTCAGGACTATCCCTGTTATTGTTTAGCTACTATTGCATCTGCTCTTGTTCACAGTCTGCATCTTTCTTTTCTTCATATATACTTTCCAGTTTACACAGTAATGGAAATATAGTTTTCAACATATAAAGAATATGCACTGAAACCTGAACCCAACCTTTCTAATCTCTAGGAGCACATATTCCACAGTACGAAACATTTTCTCACAAGCTAAGAACCATACCAGTTGGTTTTGGAAACTGTGAGTTGCACAGCTCATTCTAGTTCATTCATAGCACTAGATTATGCTCTTATGTCCTGTACTGCAGAACAAAAGGAACGACAGAAAAGATTAACAAGATGCTCTTGTATTACCTGCATGGGTGGGTCTGAGAAGTAGTAATGGATGTGTAGGGTCAGAAGATGTCTTTCAAAAAGAAACATTAAATCAGAGAATTAGAGAAGTAAATTTTTGACCCACCTGAAGATTTTACCACTGCTCAACATACCAAATTATTTTAAAAGTGTCCTTTGGTAGGGTTTTAATTCCAGAGAATTAAACTCTGTTATTCACGTCTAGGTAACAGGAGGAAAAAGGTATACATAACTGCATAAGTAAAAGAATTACAAAATGTAATAATAACTACAGCACAGAATTCTTTAGAATGGAAAAAGGCAAACCAAAAGGCACAGAAGAATTGCAACATACGTCACTAGTGTTTCCTTTCTATATCTACTTCGCTACATGGATTGAGCTACCCAATTTAAGAATAAATATGGTTTATTTGCTCAGTGGCTGCAGTGTAAATAAAGTTACTATGTGCTCTACAAAGGCTTTACCCAGAATCAAACGTGCAAAACTCCTCACAGGTAGAATAACAAATAGGGCCTGCTGTGAGAATACTCTATTCTAACATGATGCCTGGTCTGAAAATGCTTGATCTTTGAAACTGTTGCTGCCTGAGCTGTACCATAAGCAGTGGAGGAGACATGTCTCAGAGATAGGCCTTACGGTGCCTCACTCCCTGGCACAGTTAAGTTCTTGATATATGCCAGGCTGAAAACATGTCCTTCTGACTTTATTCCAGCCTAATTCTCATTTGATTTAATCATTTTTTTATTAATATTAGCAGTCTCAGTATTAACTGATCATTGCTGGTCCACATAGACTCGGATCCAGAAATAAAGATAGTATCTGTGTAAAACTTAATTGTTAGAGACACAAAAGAAAAAAAAAAACCACAACTTTTTTTTCTGACAAACATTTTATTCTAGGCAAACTGTAAACTCATGCTATCAGCTATGGCTGTGGTCTATGGTTACATCTATGATTAACGTTAGAATAAATAATGCCGACTAATGTTGGATTAATACTGCATAACAGTGAATAGCCTAAAATTACTAGCCCTCTGGAAGATGTTGAACTTGAGCTGAGCTAAGACAGCCTAGTGTGTTGGGCTGTGTTTCTCTTTTTTTAAAATAAAAATAAAAAATCCCCCCAGATACTCAACCATGGGTGTACCTATATATGTATATATATGTATGTGTGTGTGTGCATATATATATATATGTATATATATATGTATATATATGAACACATAGATATAAAAAATATGGTTTGTATTATAAAAACATAGTCTTTTTGTCATCTCTAATGGGCATACTGCAATAATTACAGCACTAATTACACAGTTAAAAGGAAAATCTATCAATGTTTCCATCAGACTTTCTGTTTTTCAGCTATTAGCTCCCCACAAACTTGAACTGCAATTTCTTAGCTAAATAGTTGCTTAAAGAGTAAATATTGTGGCTCATACTTAACTTAGTGGGGAGTTAAGCAGTAGTTATGTTTTCCAAGAGTAATATGTCAGTCTTTTAGGCTAAAAGAAAGGTAAACTAACCTTTTTTCCCTTTTGTTAATGAAGCAGTGGCTGCTAGGAAAAGCAAGAGAGAGCTGTATTCCTTTTACAAAGATTTCATAATTAGAGCTGGTTCTGGACAAAATTACTGTTAAGTGTCAGGAACACCAGTTGAGAACAATGATATTTTGTGAGATGTACCCTCTTCCATCATCATTTTGTTCAGAAGAATTGAACAGTTCCGCTGACTATCAATCTCTGATTAAGGAGAGAAGGCTGGAACACACTCAGGAATACCACCATTCCAAGACTACCTGTTTATTTCAAGAATGCAAAATAGATCACCAGTTCAAGAAGACAAAAGTTGTATGTTCAACCTGAAAATTTTAACATAGGCTTAAATTTTAATTATGTTAGCTAATCTTTTATATTAAAGTTCTTTTTTTTCCTAACCTTTTCTTGTGTTGAACAAAACTCTAACATTATCAGCAAAACAGCATTTCCATACTCTAAACTGAATGTTTTTGTAACATTTTGTCTTTTTGGAAGTAGTGAAGCAATCAACATTCACTATCAGAAAGTCTTCCTGAAGGCAAATCTGAGGTGGGACATTTACATTAGTGTAAGAGTACAGTTCTCCACAAAAGAGAAGACTGTATTTGTGTTCTTCATTGGAAACTTGGCATCCACAGGTATGGGACCATGAGTCAGACACGGATAAGACTCTTGTTTGGTAGAATAGCATACTTCTAAGTCCTTCAGAAAAATGTCAGGAACTACAATTAAATCTAAATTATTCATTATGCTACAAAGCCTTTCTTGAAGAGGAACTACACCTCTATAACATTTGTGTTTCAAAAATTGTTATAAAATTTGCTATTCTTCTTCCACTCGTATTTGTTTTTGAGATATGGAAAACTCTAAAGGTTTAATGTGGCTGGTACAAAGAGAAGAAAAAAACAAGCACTTCATACGAACACTCAGAAGTACAAAATGTGTTTGATATTTAACAAAAAACTGCCAACCTCAAAACTGTAATTAAAGGATAAAAAAGCTATGTATTTAAAAACGTGGGAAGTTACTGGAGAGCATTCTATGAGAACAAATGAAGGTTAAACTTGTCATGAATTATTCACAGAGTTTAACACAGTACATTAAGAAAGAAGTCTTTTCACTAGTCTTGAGCTGTCAGAGGGCTGTTTGCTGATTTAAACTGGTCAGCTACGCTCCTGCTATAGACAATTCTGATAGGCACTTGCTGGGGTAGTCTGTTTCCATGATTCAGACATCTATTTTAAGACAGACAGAACTGCTCCTCTCAGCTGTCTGTCTTATCTTTCTGTGGACTATGACTCCCTGCCTATATTACATTATAAATCTAGATTTTGGGCGATTCAAGATGTACTTGATAAATGCTATGGTACCAGCATAAAACCTCTAAGTTTATATAACATGGAGGTTGGATTTTTTTGCCACTTCACTCTTTTACTTGTAGCAGTTGAACTGAACGTAGATAGGATTAAAAATTTTCTTTTCATAGAAATGTAAATTTCAGATAAATTTCATGTTTGGCCTCACGTCTTATCATATTTGGATTCTGTGAGAGATGAACAATGCCAAGATTTCACAGCCTCAGTCCACATCTAATGTAATAATTACTGTGGTTCAAAAAAGCTACACCTCTTAACTCTCACATCTTTCTCCCCTGAAGGGGGACAAGCAAAGTCATCAAAAGGAATACGGATATATATATAGTACATCGGCTATGCCTACCACTGAAAGCTCAGGTAAGACCTACTTCTCCTGATTTACTCAGACAACTAGAGGCAGAGATATTAATTGATTCTAAATTGCTTCCCAGTTTAGGACTAATTTATTAGTTCCGTCTGAACTCTTTATTCTATATTTATATGTTTGAATTTTCTTTTAGTAAACAAGGTACCAGACATGAGAAAAACATGTTGCAGTACATATCCTAAAGAAAGTCACTGGCAGAGATGACAGTTGCCAGAAACTTCATATTATTGTGGAAGTATAAATTGCATAAATTGGATGCAAGCATTTCATTATTGCCAATGCAGTGCCACATTGGACATGGACATTGTGCATCTTTCCTCTTTGCCATTCTGTGAATGAAAGATACTTTGTGTGTCATCTAACATGTCACAGCTTAGCCTATTATATGGATCCCCATAGAGGCATGTTTATATGTAGGACAGCAATTCTGAAAGTAGCAAAGTTTTTTTTTATACTGTTTTACTTTCACATACTCTAATGATAGCCTTCTAATATAACAAATCAATCTGTTCTTTTTTTCTTGGTGCTCTCCTTCAGTACTTGATTAGCAAAGCCACCTCTATTTTTAACACTGAATTCAATCCAGCTAACTTTGTTCTAGATGTCTGCTGCCATGTTAAATGGAGGACAGAAAATCTTACTTTAATTAAAGTTAGAAGAAAGACATCAAGTCTTTCCTGACTTACAGTGTCCTTTTTTTAATTAAAGGGTGTTCGTCCACTTTACAACATATTTCCTTAAAGAAAAATAATAGCAGAAATATAGAATGGCTTGGGTTAGAAAAGACCTGAAATACCATCTAGTTTCAACTCCCCTGTGATTGCCAGGGACACCTTCCACTGGACCAAGCTACTCAGAGCTGCATCCAACCTGTCCTTGAACAAAGCCAAGGAACGGAAGCATCTAAACTTCTCTGTGCAACCTATTCCAGTGTCTCACTACCCTCTGAATAAAGAATTTCTTCCTAACATCTAATCTAAATTTCTCCCTTCTTTAGCTTAAAACCATTCCCCCTTGTTATATCACTATCTGTCATTGTAAAAAGTTACTCTCCCTCTTTTTTTCCAATTCCCTTTTGGCACTAGAAGGCTGCAATGTGCTCTTCCTGGAGCCTTCTCTTCTCCAGGCTGAACAATCCCAACTCTTTCAGCCTGTCTTCAAACCAGAGATGCTCCAGCCCTCTAAATAGCTACAAGGACAGGTCTAAACCTCACAGATTATTTTGCTCTTATAATAAAATTCAGTAATAATTTGCTCACATATCATTCAATGCTTCAACTGTCCTCCTGGACAAACCTTCCTTTTATTCTTCTTGAGCTCTGATATATTTTGAAGCCAAAAACTCTCCCGGACTCTAAACATTCTTTCACACTAAGCATACTCTCTTCTCATATTTCCACTCCACTGCCCAATTGAAACCTTATTTGCTCCTCTAAGTTTTATCCTGCATCTTCTACAAAGCTAATTCCGTAGCCCTCTGGTTTTGGAATCTTATTTCTTATGCACTACCTTAAAGCTATTCTTGAGTAGTTTTAAACACCAGTTATGTTGAGGAGCCATTATTTCACCTCATCTCTATTAAAATCTTTACCTCATTTATGCTTCTCATAAAATTTTATGATATTCCCATACAAACAAAATGTTCAAACTGAGCTTTAAAGTAGCATTATCGCACAGGTTTTTCTGTCACAACAATAGCACTATCACTTATTCATGCTATCCTAAAATGTTTTCAGCCTTGGTACTTCATGTTGGACAACACAACCTTGCTATAGCTGAGTTATAGCATTGCTTCCTCTAGCATAATATTTCTCACTGGACTTGGTTGGAATAATCACTTCCTAGACAGAAAGACTGTGACATCTTTCTGGCTCACTACTTCAACTGTCTAATTCCATTTGTATGTCCCTATGTATGGCCCCTCCTTGTATGAAATTTATATTTTCTACATAAATTCAATTCTCATTCCTCTAAGCCATTTTCATCTCCTCTATTATTTTTTCTATTATTTTATCTATTATTTTATTATTTTTCTATTATTTTATCTATTATTTTTCATCTCATCTATTATTTTTTCAAACAGTTTACTTTAGTCTGATAATAAAGACTGCTTCAATCACCAATATTTTGCTTCTTCCTCAAGCATTTTCTGGTTTTCATCCTGACCCTGTGTGCAGGGAAAAAGACCCCATCAACTTTCATGTGCCCTCAACTTTCTATTTTAAATTACTTCTCAAAACATGCTCTCCCTAGGATGGCCAGAAAAATGGCCCTGTCTGACAAAACCTAGAGAACAACATTTTATCCTTCTATTTATATAATCTTGAGTAAAATCCTAAGCTTGTTGTGGACATGGAAATTTTTCTACTTCAGTAGATCCAGATTTACATTTGTCTACATTTTTTTAGGCTGACTACTTCTTCTCCAAACACACTTCAAGTAGCCTTTTTACTACTGTCTTGGTTTAATGAGACTGAAGTGTTTTGCTAAGGAGGATGAGTTATGAGCAAGGCCAAATTCTTCTCTCTCAGAAATTGTAAATCTGAAATTAAGAGGCTCCAATCGTGGAAGTATGGAAAAAGGAAGAAGTAACAACCCTTTATTAAAGAATATATGTATATTGGCAAAAACAGCAAAAGAACACAAAAACAACTAAGCAATAATCCTGTACCCAAAAGTCCCCTTCAAAAAGGAAACAGTTTGATACTTCTCTGTCCTCTAGCACGATTCTAATCACGGTTGGCAGGGGGAGCTGTTGGATCACTGGAGGAGCAGGGCCTGCAGTGCTCTGTGATGGCTGGCAGACGGCGCTGTTCAGCTCTGGTGGTCGCTGCGTGAGGCCCCAGTGTGTGGGAGAAGCTGACAATGGAGATTCCGCCCCCCACCAAGAAGGGGAAGGGGAAAAAGGGGAAAGGAGGGCGGTTTCTTTCCCATGAAACTCACAATATCTGTGGCTGGCTGTGATCAGGACTCCCCCCTTTCCTCGCCAAGCACAAACTTTCCGATGAAACCTGAGCAGGTCCGGCTGGTGACAGAGCAGACCGTAGCTGGTGACAGAGCAAGTTGAGGCCGGAGAACAGTCAGATGACCAGGTCAAGAGCAAAATGGCCTCAGAGCTTTTCCAGTGCACACCTTGTCCCCTTAAGGCAAAAAGTGAAGTCCCCCTTTCCAAGGAGAGAAGGGGAGAAAAACTCCTCTCCCCACCCCCCAGCCTTAGAGAGGGCAATAAGCCTGGAATGTAGTTCTGCCAGCTAGCTCTTTTGTGTAGGTCAATCACCCAATGCAGAAAACTGTCCTCCCCATTCAGTATCCCTCCCCCACACTGCAGCAGGGGAAAGAAAATTCCCATTCGGTTTTTTAGAAGAAGCAAACCCATGACAACTACTGTGTCATATTTCTCAAAAAATCATGAGTATGTCTATTCCATCCCTTGAATCTGCTCCACACATGCCTGAAACTTGACAATATTCAAGAAGTTAAGAAAGAGTTATGCAAGAACTAAACTAATTTTTAATTTTTTTAAATTAAAAACTGACCAGTTAAAGCTGGTCACAGATAAAATGTAAAATTAAAGAAAATGTATTAAATGATGCTTGATAGTTTGCTTTGTGTAAATAGTATCCTTTTTCCAATAGAGATTTATAGTATGCTGCAAAGGAAAAATATATTTAATGATTTTAAAGAAATTTACAGTAAAACTAAATCTAAACTACAGGAGTTATTATTTGAAACTACCTAATTTATGCAGCATCTCTAAGAGATTGTGTACACTATTGGTTGAGACCATCTGGGCTGTATTTCAGTGTGTTTGTATGAAACATAGAAATACTAGAGTCAGCCTTTTCATTCTACTGTCAGCATTTAATATATAACTCTGAAGGGCAGTGTGTTTGGTTTCTCTTACATATTTAAGGGAAGGTTAAAAAATAAAACAGACTGGGGTTTCAAAGATAATTTTGAATTATTATTTTATTTTAATTCTCACCTGAAATTACCTATGAGAGTACTGCAACAAAAGAATATTTCCTAAGAATATGTGAAATGTACATGAAAATAATTGATTCATTTATAGAAAAATTCAGAAAAATCTAGATCTACAAATATTGCAAAAGTGAACTTTTTTTTTATATTCGCAATTTAACAATTCAGAAAACTGTGTTATATTTTATGATGCAAATATTTTTAAAGACTACCACTCACATTAAAAGTTGGTTTTAATAATATATTTTTTAAAATTCCCATGTTCATAGGTACATATTTCATAACTACTACTGAAGTTGAACTAGCATTCTAAATACACTGGCAGTGTTACAAATCACAGAAAGAGGCACATTGCTGTCTCTGGAATATGAAGTTATAAAATGCTGTAAATTATTTCTGCTGTTTAAGCAATTTCTATATATGTAAATAAATTAAGTCCAGCAAAGTAAAGTCCAGCTGATCAATATCTAGATAAAATGACATTTAAGAAGAGAAGAACTGGCTGAGATTTTTTTCCCCTTTTGTTTCTCTCCATTATGTTCTATTACTTTGGACAAGAACATAAATAAATTATTCACTTTTGCTGTTTAGAACTGAAAAAAATGGCATATAAAAGGCATATAAAACCTTTCTCAGTTACGATCTCTTGCAAAGATAAGGATGAGCTACTAAGCTGTTTTGCCTAAAAAGTTCTCAATCTAATACATATTACACTGACTGCAGGGGCAAACCTATGACTTCTTCAATGTTTATTTTAAATTGTAAATAATAGTGTTGATGAATTTAATAATTTTATGAACATTTGAAGCTTAGTTATCCCCTTCTCTCTTGTCCAAAGAAAGTCCTCCAAACAGTGCATTAGAAGTTCTTCTAACACCAGGTTGGCATCTGCACTGTGATTTTCCTTCTAGCATGACAGCTTTCCTACTCAGGTGCTCTGTTGCTTACTTTCTTTATGACCCTTGGCCACGTGGTCCAAAAAGCTCATAATTTTAGAGAAAGCTCAGGGCAGAAATCTTTATTCTGAAAAAGTTTACACAGAAGATTACAGCAACCACTAATTCTGCCAATATTCTTTCTGAGAAAGGTACCTAAGCCAAATAAGGACTCAAGAATCTTTCTAATATTTACTTAGAGAAACAGAAAAGCATTATTTTAACTCAAGTAAAAGAGAAACCCATTTAAAAGCCATGGCTACTAGAATTATGATCACATTGCTCATCTTTGCAGTTCATTAAGGATTCATGTCCTCTTGTCTGACGATATCCATGTGTGTTTTTTAATACAGGATCCTCTGCATGCCCAGTCCCAAATGAAGCAGTTAGATCTGTGGCTGCCTTGCCTAACACAGACTTGAGTCAGGCTGCACATCACTGGTGGCTCAGAGGCCTCCAGGAGGAGGCTGAGCTCTCAAGAATGCAAAGTACCTTCAGATCTACTCGTCTGCAATCTTAATAGAGATGAACACTTATTTCTGAACTGTAGGCCATTACCTATTTGTACCAAAACAATGCCTATTCTTAACTTCTAAAAGAAAACAGATGTCAGAGCAGGATTGGTTTTGTTTTCAAAGTGTAACAGGGTAAGCTCTGTTCTCCTAAGATCTGAATCCAAGTTTTCATAAATGTAAATACTGACAATTAAACCTGTAATACCAAAATAAACCAGAGTTCAAATATGTTAATTTTCCAAGTTCATAATCAATGAAATATATTTATAGAGAAGTCAGATTTGCAGAAAAAGATCTCTTTCAAAAAGTGATTTGACAGTACTGGAAAAAGGAAACAAAGATTGTGATGCAATCCTCTCATGTAGATCAGTAACAAAAAACCTAATATGAATTAGAACCAAAACTGTTTCAGTTTAATCTCACTCTTTTCATTAATTAGACCTAAAGAAAAACAAAACAAAACAAAACAGTACCTAAGAAGAAGAAAAAGATACTGGAAAAAAAAAAAAAAGAATCTGTGCAAAAAGGGAGAAACTGTGTCTATAGAATAGAAGGTGACCAGTGGGACAGTGAGGAAAATATAAGATTGAAAATGACAATGCCTCTGTGACAACTTTCAATTCCCAGGTTTGCCTTCTAAAGATATTGCTAGATGTCCTTTGCATGTCACACTGAGGGATGAGATACAACAAGGCTCCTGTTGGTTTTGACCTTCCTTCAGAAAGATTATTCTAGATTGCAGAACTTGTCTATTTTGACTCACATTGTTTCTATGATGACATCCAGTGCATGGGATAAAGTATATTACAGTGATGAGAATTCATGGATTTTGATTTAAAAAAAAAAAAGATACTGGTTGAGGTAGCTAGCTTTGGAGATGGAATTGGAATTCTTAATATATGAAAACTTAAGAACTCTTTTTGTGGATCTAAGACTTTTGCTTTTAAGCCTGTCAAATCCTTCTGGTGTGGTTTTGCTTTGTTTTCAGAGAATGCTGTTTAAGATAGGTCTCCTTCAAATCAGTATATTAGGATGTCTAAGGGGTTAATGGTGCATTAGAGAAACGAGTAAAAAAAAATCGATTGGAGCTTTAGAATAACATGAGTTATTTCCCTGACACAAAGTTCTCTTCAATTCTTATCAGCAACCAAAATCTTAATGAAGAAAAGCCACTGAACATCAGAATAGTTAAATCACTTTTCTGAATAACCTTTAGGCCTCTCCTATAATACAGTCATCCTTTCATCCTTTACATATCCTGGCTTTTGTCTAGTTTTAGTTTGAACATAAAACTTATTTGAACTTTTGTCTCTTTCAGTATGTAGCATTTAAAATGAAATTAACAACTTAAGTCATTCTCTCCTGCAGGAATTTATCCATGGATATATGGAACTGATAGAACTTCAGTAATTCCAATTTGTGTAATTGACATGACTCTGTGGTTTAAATCCAAATATGCATGAGACCACCACATTCAAAGTTATCCCACTTCAGCTCTTTTAACAAGCAGAGCAGCAGTAATATAATCTGTTGTTCTTCCCTTGGTAGCTATAACACTCAAAAAGGTAACGTGTTTTCCCTTAAGTGGGAAATATGACACATATTACAAAAACATACTACTAATACCACTACTACTACACAAAAAGTAGTTTAAAAAAACCATGTTCCAATAGTACTTTACTTGCTTTAGTTCAATTTAGACTTCAGATCTCAGTTCTGCCCCTATTGTTTGTTTTCCTATTCATGTCTGAAATCAGTCTGGGATCTCTTTCAGGCTCAGCTGATGGGCCATGATTCCTGAGCAACTAAGCCCTGCTACAGCAAACATGGCTATTAAGTACACAAAGTGGTATTTAACTGCTTGATATATCTAGTTTACATGACAGAATTTAAGGTACGCACATTGATTTTTACTCTGTTGCAACTGATTTATAAATTGAAGTTGATGATTGCTAATAACACTTTCCTGCCTCATTTTGCATTATAATGTCAGCAAACACCATCTTTAACCACTCAGAAAACTGGGAGTTATTTACACTGTTAGAGAAAAAAAAGCACCATCAATAATATATTATGATACTTTTTTTTAACGTCAGTTTGCAGAACGAATAAGATAAAAACCTCACTGAACAAACCTCACTGAATAAAGTACACTGAACAAACATGGTCCTATGTTTTTAGCTTAAAATACATATAACTATCAACATCAAAATGTAAACTAAACAATGAAGAACGTTCCAAAGCATTTGCATCATAATTAACCGCGTTTGTATTTGAATGAACAACTAGAGATGCTCTTCATATCCTCAGAGCTGTATCTTTGTTCATGTGTGCTCCACTGTCACTTATCTCTCTCAACATAGAAAAGATAGAAAAGCAAATATATCTATAGTCCAGTATTATCCATTTGAATTTCATGCTAAATGATTCTCAAAACCTCTTGCAGTTCTGGTATTTCCCTTGGTTTTAATCAATCCGGATTATTTTTTGTGGTATGCCACTATCTGGACAATCATCTCAGCAAGACTGTTTCAGTTAACTTAGTTTCACAAGGATCTTGGAAAGCATTTTTCCATGTAAATTTACTGGTATAATTAGCACGAAGCTGAATAAATCAGAATTTTTTCCCTGACCACTATTTTATATTTTTTACTTCTTTATATATAAAAATATCTCACAAAATATGCAAGTCTCAAAGTTCAATCAAATGAAATAGAGGTCAAAGAGCCAGTTCCAGAAATTATTCTTCTTTACTTTTGTCTATCTAACGCACCAGTGGACAGTAATTGCAGTGTGCTACAGAAGACTGTTCATGAATTTGAGTGCACACCAAATTATGGGTAAAATGTATTGTTGTTTCTATAGCGTATTTGGTTTCTGATCAGGAATATTTAACATTGAAGAGGGTCCTACAGCTGCACTACACTGTCTAGTTTAACCAGGCCTTTAAAAATTTTTTTTGTTTTTTTTTGGAGAGGAAAAAATGCAAAGTTTGTATTTGAAGTAAAAATGGAAAAGAACAACATCTTCCTCATCAGCAAACACTAACTCTTTGTACCATATCAGAAGGATGGAAGATTAAATGCAAAATTTCAAGGTGATGTTTTACATCAACTAAATTTTACAGCATTGATGAGTTCACTTTGCAGAAGTTCAAAGAGGGAGGAGCTCAAGGAGTACTGGTTTAAAGTGTTCACTGCTCTAAAGAGTACAGACCTAAGAGTGCATGTGGAGCAGGACTGGTTTTTTGGTCCAAATGTCAGCACTTGCAGGCCACGTTGGTGACCTGGATAGCAAGGCAGCTAAGTTTGTAAACTAACTTACCAATAGCATTGCTTAAATGGTATTTCCTTCATTAAAAATTCTTTAGAGACCCTTTAATTTTTTGCCATATTTTTGATTAAATTTAATTGACAGAGGCATCAACATGTAGTTTACAAAATTCTGAATATTTGCCAATAAGAACAAACAAAATCTTTTATAGTGATACTTAATTCACTATGGTAGAGTTGCTTTCAAAAATAAAGTAAATGCTTCTGAAATTACAGTGGCTGTGAAAGACACAGAACCGATGAACAAAACCAATGTAAAAATTTTAGGAATATGGTCTGAGGCTGGAACTTTTTGCATGGCAACACAACTGGCCTGCCACTTTTGTCTGTTTCAGGGATTTGGCATAAAATTTTGCCTTGAAAACTGTAATGAAGCTTTTATATGACTCTAATCTACATCTGCACCAAGGTGTTATTTGTTACTGGCAATGAGAGATGGCTCTGACCTATGTCTGGCTGTTACACAAATTATTGGTTGTTTATTATGTAAATACTTATAATCAGTTATTTATATTAATTAGGAAGGGGAATGCATATCTTGATCTCTTGAACTCAGTGAGGTGTATCCATGAAGGTAACTCAGCTGGGCAGACTGTCACCTCTAGGAACTCCTGTTTCTAAGGAGCTGCAAATCTTGTTTTGCTAAAGACACACAGTCTAGATCAAAAGGCTCTAGGGAGCTGGGAAACAATTTCAGCCCTGCAAAAGGGAGAAATGAAAAAATTGAGCTGCAACATTATGATGTAGCTTTTGCTACTGAGTGAACAGACAGTGGTTGTACATCACTGTCGTACACTGTCTCTTTCATCTGCATACTTGTCTCCCCTTAAGAGTTCCTTCTTCTTTCTTTCTGCTCTTTGGGCTATGTTTTCTTGTTATGTTGTCAAATAGAACCTTTATATCTAATCTGTAAAAGTTTATTCTGTGACTTCTTGGAATTTTCTGTAGTTAACCATTTTGTAGATGAAAAATACCAGACTTTCAAATTTTAACTTAAAGAGGTACTGACAAAGCCTAGGAAAACCTAAGCTTAACCTAGATTATTAGAAATACAGAAAATAAAGACATTTTCCTTATTTTCCTGCCAAGTATGAAAAGAAAAGATTTTTTTTTCTATAACTGTCCTATGAACAAAGTGTTAATCTACTAATGGTAAATCAAATCATAGGGTTAGTTCATATTCTTAGTAACAAACACGAAGAAGGGAACTAAAATACGCAATTTGTTATCCAGAAATAAATTCCCAAAACATGGCAGAAATTCTGCAATGACTTCAAAAAGTAATAGGATTAGATAACAGCTATAATGAAAAACAAATATATAGGTTATAAGTAAAAATATCGAATACAGATGAACTACAGATGTAAAAATTATTGAAATACAAAAATCCCTTAGAACCATAACGTCTTTCTAACATCATACTCATACTTCACTTTCCCAAAGTATCTGGTATAAATACAAAAATGATGCTGCTGCATTGAAGTTAGTATAAACACTGTAGGACTTTGAATGCAGATGCCAAAGAATGCTTCACATTTTTACCATAAA